CCAAAGATCACAGCAAGCCAACATTTTTGGCTTTTGGCACGTTCTTCAGATTCTCTGAATCTTTTAATGATACGATATAACATAAATGATGAAATCCTCAAGTTTTTTGCTATTTTACGTTAAGAAATGTTATTCTTAAAATGTTGCACTATTTGTTTGCATAGTCTTTCACAGAGTGGTGAACCCTTCCCCTTCTTTACTCCTGAAAGACTCTCTGCGATGCTCTTTTTGTACTTAATCATGTTACTGACCTGTTGTCAACCTAATTAGTTGTGAGATGTTCCACCAGGTGTTTTTTTTAGCATTTCACAACTTTACCAGTCTTTTGTTGCCTATTTTTTTGTCCCAATTTTTTTGAAGTGTGTTGCTGGCATCAAATTCAAAATGGGCATACATTTTTCAAAAAACAATACAATTTCTCATTTTCTTTCACCACCAGCACTAGAAGGGTGAAAGCTAGCAAGCTGTGAAGCGCCACCACATCTCTTCAAACTGCAGCTAACGTCATGCAACGTAATTGGACAGCTGAACGCGCTCGGAAGAAAATGGCAGTTGCCAGTTCTGTTACGCCAGCTGACAGACGCCTGCGCTGACTAGCATTGCAGGACTCCCGGCCATGGATGGCTGTAGCATCACCAGAGATCGAATTCGCGATCTCCTGATGATGGGGCCAACGCTTAGACAGTTGTGCCACTCAGGAGCCAAGATTTCTCATTTTCAATGTTTGATATGTTGTCTTTGTACTACTTTTGATTAAATATAGGGTTTATAGTGCATCCTGAAAGTATTCACAACGCTTCACTTTTTCCACATTTTGTTATGTTACAGCCTTATTCCAAAATGGATTAAATTCATTTTTTCCCTCAAAATTCTACACACAATACCCCATAATGACAAAGTGAAAAAAGTTTGTTTGAATGTTTTGCAAATTTATTAAAAATAAAAAACAAAAAAAATCACATGTACATAAGTATTCACAGCCTTTGCTCAATACTTTCTTGAAGCACCTTTGGCAGGAATTACAGCCTCAAGTCTTTTTGAGTATGATGCTACAATCTTGGCACACCTATTTTTGGGCAGTTTCTCCTATTCTTCTTTGCAGAACCTCTCAAGCTCCATCAGGTTAGATGGGGGAGCGTTGGTGCACAGCCATTTTCAGATCTCTCCAGAGATGTTCAATCGGGTTCAAGTCTGGGCTCTGGCTGGGCCACTCACAAACATTCACAGAATTGTCCTGAAGCCACTCCTTTGTCATCTTGGCTGTGTGCTTAGGGTCATTGTCCTGTTGGAAGATGAACCTTCGCCCCAGTCTGAGGTCCAGAGCGCTCTGGAGCAGGTTATCTTCAAGGATGTCTCTGTACATTGCTGCATTCATCTTTCCCTCAACCCTGACTAGTCTCTCAGTTCCTGCTGCCGAAAAACAACCCCACAGCATGATGCTGCCACCACCATGCTTCACTGTAGGGATGGTATTGGCCAGGTGATGAGCGGTGCCTGGTTTCCTCCAGACATGATACTTGGCATTCAGGTCAAAGAGTTCAATCTTTGTTTCATCAGACCAGAGAATTTTGTTTCTCATGGTCTGAGAGTCCTTCAGGTGCCTTTTGGCAAACTCCAAGCAGGCTGTCTTGTGCCTTTTACTGAGGAGTGGCTTCCGTCTGGCCACTCTACCATACAGGCCTGGTGAAGTGGTGAAGTGCTGCAGAAATAGTTGTCCTTCTGAAAGGTTCTCCTCTCTCCACAGAGCAATGCTGAAGCTCTGTCAGAGTGACCCTTGGGTTCTTGGTCATCTCCCTGACTAAGGCCCTTCTACCCCGATCACTCAGATTAGCCAGGTGGCCAGCTCTAGGAAGAGTCCTGGTGGTTCCAAACTTCTTCCATTTACGGATGATGGAGGCCACTTCAATGCTGCAGAAATTTTTCTGTACCCTTCCCCAGATCTGTGCCTCAATACAATCCTGTCTTGGAGGTCTACAGACAATTCCTTGGACTTCATGGCTTGGTTTGTGCTCTGACATGTACTGTCAACTATGGGACCATATATAGACAGTTGTGTGCCTTTCCAAATCATGTCTAATCAACTGGATTTACCACAGGTGGACTCCAATCAAGTTGTCAAAACAACTGAAGGATGATCAGTGGAAACAGGATGCACCTGAGCTCAATTTTGAGTGTCATGGCAAAGGCTGTGAATACTTATGTACATGTGATTTTTTTATTTTTTGTTTTTTATTTTTTAATAAATTTGCAAAACATTCAAACTTTTTCACTTTGTCATTATGGGGTATTGTGTGTAGAATTTTGTGGGAAAAAAATGAATTTAATCCATTTTGGAATAAGGCTGTAACACAACAAAATGTGGAAAAAGTGAAGCGCTGTGAATACTTTCCGGATACACTGTAAATGATTTTCATATCATTGCATTCTGTATTTATTTACATTTTGCACAGCATTCCAGCTTTTTTGGAAACATTGTTATAAGTTAAAAGAACCATTTCTATTGGTCTATTTGCTATGAAATTTTGACACAATGGAGATAAAAGGTTTTGTTTCAGCAGCGATGAAATGTTAAATTATTTTAAGACATCTGATGTGAAACAAACTACAACATGAACCTGTTTCTTCGTGAATACTGGGGATTAGGAATTTTTGGTCTTTGATGCTACTGCACTCACTAAGCAGTAAACACATGAACCTAAGCACAAAATAATCGCTATAATGTCTATATGCAGAAGTCACAGTACGTTTAATAAAACAACAACGCTTTTTGGCCTGAGAGACTTGAGATAGCAGTAACTCTGCTCACATTATTACTGGGAGCAGCAGAAGAAAAGTATGAGTCACCTTAGAGGACACAGAGCAGATTGACAGTGGACTGTGTGTCTAGTTAGGTGGGGTGAGACAGGCTAATCTTATAGAGTTTAATGTGTGCTGAGGAGAAAAGACCTCCAGCAGAGCCGTACAGGGTCCAGTGTGCATGTGTTTGTCCATCTGTGGTTCAGGGAAGTCTGAGGGTGTAGTCAAATATTGTGGCTTCTAGCAAAGTACAAAAGGTGGAGCGCTCACTGCAGGGAAAAGAACGTGCGCGTGTGTGCATGAGGGAGTGCGTTTTAGTGTGTTTCTGTTGTGACTTTTGGATTAAAACCAGAACGTGCTGATTTTGCTGATACCATTGGAGCCTGGATATAAGAGAAGCTCAATGGAAGATTAAGGAAAGTAATAAATGCCACTGCAGTTGGAGATTGACTTGAGTCTGAGCTTGCTTTTAAAGTGCTATGGATTTTTTTGCACATCTATAACTGCTTTTGGGCTGTATCTGACTCAGCAGGAAGCTTTTGTGTGGTTCTAATAACATGATTTTCCTGGCCTCACTTTTCTGGAAACTTCAGTGAAGTCAAGACGTTACAGTAACTGCAAACATACTAGAAAATGAAACCTGGGAGAACAGCTCTGGTGATGCATTACACACGCAGAAGCTAAGTTTGACAAGAGAATGCATGAAGTTCATTGCGATTAAATATATTTGTTTAACAAGAGGATGCAAAAGGCTTACTTAAATTAACATGCTAAGTAAATTAAATCGTTATGATGCAGCAAAATTAGAAATGCAAGTCTGTGTGCACAAGTAAAGTCTTTCTTTTTCACTTAGTGGAAGCTTTCATCTAAAGAGCCTCGGACACCGCTGTAAAAAATGGAAAATGATCCTGCTGCTTCATTTTTTAACAAATTCACCAACTTTTTCACTCAGATAGAAAAAAGAGATCCTCAGATTTTGGCTGAAGACACACCAGTTCTTGCATTTTTTCGCTCTCTGTCTGAAAAAGGGCATACATTTGGGAACAGCAGTGTCCAAAAGCCTCAAACCGATGAAAGTCATAATGATTCAGTTGTCAAACAAGATGTTAAAGGTATGGAAATGTCAAGCCAAACTACAAACACAAACTCAATAGAAACATATTCTGAGAAGGAGGTTTCTGTGGAGGCAGAAGATGGATTAACAAGGATAGGTAAGCCTACGGAGCAGTGCAGCACCCATACCAGTTTGAAACAGAGATCACTTAATCAGCCATGGAGTGGTAATAATGTTGAAACTGAGGTTAGCATTAGCTCAGACCCAGAGGAAATCCCAAGTAATGAAATGGTATCTTGTACAGAAAGAGAGCTGAATATGGACCTACAAGTTAATGTGCATCAAGGGAATTCCTGCAAAGACTCATCGTCAGCTTGCCAGGCTGACCAGGAGGCAGCAGATGGTCAAGCTGACATGCTAACCAGAGCACTTAGTCAGGAGTCAACCAATAGCCTGAGCTATTCAGTGCCAGCAAAAAGCTATAGCGGTGGGAATTTCTCAGACATCAGTAAACATACTGCTCTTCTAAACAGTAAAGAGGGATCACCAGAAAATGCTAGTGATATGACAGAGGGCAATGATAAAGATGCAACTGGGAACAAAAATACGTGCAAGCTTGGAGAGAGTCAAGAAAGGTCTGAAATTCTTGTTCTGTCAACTAATATCACTCGTGAAGAGCTCGATGAGTGCAAATCTCAGGAGAAAACAGAACTTAAATATGCAGACAGTCAAACGCTGGAAGCATCAAGTATCAACAAAAATGAGCTGTACACCAAGTGTGAATGTCATGTGAGCTCTGCAAACATTGACAATCCACCCTCCACTGTAGACTCTAAGACATCATCTACAAACATCAGTATTGAGCTTTACAGAGATGATCAGGTGGTGTCAACTGTTGGCAGCAATCATGTTGCATCTAATGGAAATATTGCCACAAATGTGCTTAATAACCACAAATTATCCACTGAAATTTCTGGTCAGAGCATATTAACAGACACCACTCATTTTCAGGAAGGCCAAGTCTACACCACTGATCTAAGTTTTCTGCCTACATGCCCTCGAACTCTCAGCTGTGTTGATGTCAATACCCTCAATGGACACCCAGATGTAGACAGCAGTGTCTGACCAACAGTAGTGCACCCAACCAATGTTGGTGCAACCACTGTCCAAGCATTTATGGAGCTAAGAAGTGAGGATGCCCGCTGTTCCATCAGTGCAGAGACATGTAACACAGGCAGTGTAGAATCATACACGCAATCCAGTTCATTGGAGGGTCCTTTGGCCACGCCCCCTCAGGATACTACCCCCTCTTCTAACCTAGCTGAGATGAGAGAAGCTGGAGAGCGTTCTGTTAGCTCATCAGATCTTCATGTCACTGAAAAAGGGAATGACCTGTACACATTTCCCAAATGCGATTCTGAACAGATGTTAGAAAAATTAGGACCAGCAGTTCCAGGCAGTCAGAAAAAAACCCAAGAAGGAAGAGTAATTAATGAAGATGGACAACAGGCAGGGAAGCCAGATATGGAGAAGAAAGAAGAGAGGAAGATAGAAGATGAGGGGGATAACCTGGCACAAATAGAAGGAGAACATGATACTCACAGTGAGAAAGCCACCACTGGAAAGATGAAGAAAGAGCAAGGGGATACCACCTCAGCGTCTTTAAATGAAGCCTCTGCTTCTGGAAACCCTCAAAATCAACCCACCACTGAAAACACTTCTAGCCCAATTCCAGATTCTGGAGTTTTGGAGAAACCTCGCCAGATACCCTCATTCTTCAGTGGACTTAAAGGGCTAAAGAAAGACATAGATGAGCAGAAGAAGGGAGAATCAACCCCAGAGCAACACAAAGGCCCTGATCTGATTAAGCGAATGTCTGTTAGACGAGGACTTTTCTCTGAACAGCGTTCCAAAAAGGAGGTGAAGGGGACCTTCCTTGAGCAGCTCTCCCAGCTCCTAAGCTTTGATGCCAGCAAATTGGAAATAAAAAGAGAACAGAAAACTGCAACAAGTCCTCCAATGTCTCCCATCAGCCAGAAGCCAGCAGCAGAGAAGCTTACCATAGTTGAAACTGTAGAAGAGCCTAAGGTAGCGTCATCAGAGGGTAGCAAATCCCCAAATGCAGAGACAGCTCTCGAAGCCTTCAAGGCATTCTTTACCCCTAAACCGCCCAAAAAGGACACCTCTGATCCAGAAGCTGTGAAGAAGACCCTAAACAAAGACGTTATCCAAGCTATCTTTGACAGGAGCTCTAGCAAGTCTCCAGACAACAGGAACCTCTCTGATTCCAAAGTATGCACCTGTGTACTAACTGTTTTTTGTCATCGTATCTTTTTAAAGGTTTCAAGAATTAAGATGCAAAAAAGACAGTAAAAAGATGTTGTAGTGTTTCACACAAATTGGAGGAAGCACATGCTAGCTTTCACCCACCCAGCTTGATCTCTCCAATGAAAAACCATATATCAACCATTTTACACTTTTCTAGATTATCAGTTAATTTATTTTCTATCTTATTTTGTACATCTGTACACTTTTACAACAAAGCACCAAACTGTGCTTTATTTATGTTTTAGTGACCCTTTTATTTTAAAATACAGGGCATCGAACAATTCTGTACCATGCTTACAAAAATGTCACATATACTGTTTTTCATTGCAAAGGGCTCAGCTGACGCAGTCCAGTGGCCTATATTTTACATTTTTCTTGTCTTTTAATTTATTTTTGTCAGAGGGCTGCTTATGATTTGTGTAAATTTATTTAACAAATGCTGAGTTCATTTTTACATGACCGTTTTTCAAACCCTTGTTTTTGTCCCTTACAATTCAACAGGTTGTTTATGTTGCTGTGCCTTAAAGACTGATATATGTAAATGAGCTCTATTCTGATAACCTGCCCAGTATTTTGCCTCGTTCAGAAAGCTGTCCAGGCTGAAACTATAACATCAGAGTGAACAGGCAGGGCTGAACTGCTGTAGGCTGAATAGGCGGATATATGTAAATGCATTTGTTTTCGTGACATCACAAAATGGGCTGTTTTTGAAGCTGAGATTCCATAAATTATATGGACTATATATTACTTTTTGAAACTTTAACAGTGTTTACATACTACTCTTTAGTTTTACAAAAGTGAGGAAAATGGTCCTTTAAATTGGGTGGGCCCTTTAAGTTCCCAACAGAAATGTTCACATAAAAATAGCCATGTTTGACAGTGCTTATTGACCTTCTAGATCTTTAGGATTCATGTAATCACGTTGTAGGTGCTTTACAAACCAAAATTTGCCGGAACAGCTTTGTTGTTAAACATGAGTATTTGCTGTCAGAATATTTTCCTGTGTGAACTATATTTAAACTTTTAAAACTCTTTGTACAGTACTGACAAAACTGATTACTTGAAATATGCGACGCTGTATTATATGCATGCATTTGGTTTTGTCATCTCCTACAGTCTTACGAAAGTGAAGAAAGGACCCCGGGGCGGCTCCAGGCCGTCTGGCCCCCACCAAAGCCCAAAGACAAGGAGGAGAAGATAGGACTGAAATACACAGAGGCTGGTAAGAGTGTATGCAAGAAACAGCAAAAGCAAATGTTTGCCCTGAGTCATATATTTGCCCTGCATGTGATGGTACAGCGCTCTCCAAACAAATGCTAATGTGCCTCCACCCTCAGTAATTCTTCTGCAAGTTAGATAACGTGCAATGTTTTTAGTTTTTTTTTTTAATTAAATGTCATTTTTTGTGGTTGTTATTTAGTCTCTGGTTTTATCAACCTTTGAAACGGCAAAACATATTAAAAATACTTCCTGGAAAAATTTATTATATACACTTTTATTACTGTTGTTATTCCATTCATCATCATGTGCTGCTTGTGCTACAGTTCTATGTGTAGTCTTAAATCCTGTAAGCTAACAGGGTGTGGAATCTACAGACACACCTTAGCACACACTAAAAGAATAGCCATATCTCAGATATGCTGTCACCCATGCATGTGCTGAAATCATGCACCAAAGGAAAGTAACATTTGAGTTAAGAGTGTACATATACTGCCACCTTGTGGAAATATGCAGCATGCTTCTTGAATAATGCTGCACTTCATTTTACATGACTTAGCACTGCTTTATTTGTAAAGAGTGTGTGAACTGTTTCTGATGAGTTCATTTGCATTTTGCCCATGCAGAGCACCAGGCAGCTCTTCTACAACTGAAGAGAGAGTGCAAGGAGGAGGTGGAATCATTAGAGGCAAGTCAGCCCGAAGTTCCAAAAGTTTGGAATTGCTTGTCATATTAGTAACTGATGTTGCTGTTCGATAATAACTTGAAATATACTAACATAGACACCAGAAGGTGTTTTCAGATGTTGTATTAAATATTTTCAACTTTTTAAGCAATATGATATTGAATGACATAATATACTATAATTGTCTATTTATTCTAATTATTTATTTGCTGAGATATCCACTTTGATTTTATTCAGGAATTCTACATATAAAATTGATTATAACTTTATTCTTAAAGCTATATAGATTTCTCAGTCATTTTAGAGTTATCTGCAGCACTGTTCACCAAATCTAAAGTTTCATAATTTTTTATCACATAATTTTATGCATATATAGCACTATGCAAAAGTTAGAGCCCACCCTTCATTTATTTAATTTCCAGTAAAAACAGCCATTAAGTACAAGTTATGAAATTTTTTATGAAGTTAGTTTTGCATTTTTTCTGAAAGCCAAAAGCTAGACACACTAAATTCTGAAAAAGTAATATTTAGTCCTTAGGAGTATGTAATTTTGTGTGGAATATGTTTTCTGCTTTTTTTCTTATGCTGAAAAATGAATAACTTGTACATAATAGCCATTTTCACTGAATTTTTTTTTTTTGCAAATACTGTAGCTGCAACAAAGCTGATTTTATTTTATTGAAAACTGTACTGTGAATTCAAACTTTTGAATGGCAGTGTAACTTGATTTATGTTTTTGATACTATCAAAAATTAAGTCAAAGTTGTGGTTCTCATTTGCTAACAAGTCACACACAGGCAATCACTTTTACCATAGAAAGTATTCATGGCTCTCTGACTGTTGTTATCTTGCACAGGCTGACTTTAAGCTCCAGTTGTTCCGCTTGCGAGAGGAGAATGCAGAATCTCTGTCCAGACTGCAGGCAGCCATTGCAGAACTGAAAGAGAAGGCCAAGCGTTCCCATGGTGACCTTCGCGATGTGGCTGTGTCCACAGAGGACAATGTCACGCCTCGTGCCTTTCGCACCGTGTGCATCCAGACAGACCGAGAAACCTTCATCAAGCCTGTGGAGGATGCAGAATTGAGTAGTGGCCTTTGTCCGCAACCAATTGTGCCTAAAAAACTTGATCTCACTTCAATTAATCTTAGCCTTTCTGGCAAACAGCCTGAAGCCAAGCAAGGTCTGCCTCCTTCTCTTGCCCCGCCTCCGCCACCCCCACCCCCACCACCACCTTTACCTGTTCAGTCAGAATCTGAAACCAACAGAGCCCCACCCCCTCCACCATCATTACCTGGTCACTGTGACGATAATGATTTTTCCAAGCCTGACAAGTCTTTGGACAGACACCTGCCGCTTGAAAAAGGCGGTGGTCCACCCCCTCCACCACCACCTCCACCTATGGCCGGATGTGGTCTTCCTCCTCCACCTCCAAACTATATCAAGCTCTGCCCCCTCTCCTCCAACTGGAGCCGGTTTATTACTCTCTAAAGGTGAAGAGTGGCCGCAACGGAAGCCGAGAGTGGAGCCAGTTTGCCCAATGAAACCACTCTACTGGACACGCATACAGGTTCAAAACAACAGGTAATACCAAACGCTGTCAGAGAAGTTCACTGGCACAACTTCTGACATACATTATCATTCAAATGTTGGAAATATTATAAACCAGTTTTACTGAAGATAAAATCATTATAATGTGATGCTGGTTGTGTAACACTTCATATTTTTTAATAATTAGTGGGTAGGTGTAAACAAAGACATGTTAAAAACATCCAAAATAGTGAACAATGTTATAAATGAATCCATTATGATTGAGAAAGCTGTACATTGAGAATGCAGTCAGAACTCACAACACCTTGTATTTGAAAAGTGGGGACAAAATCAGATTGAAAAGCTGTTTATTTGGCAAGTATTATTATAAAATAATAATCACAGTAGAGTCTCATCAATTATATTATATATATTATATATATATATTATATCAATTATAAGGTCTAAAGGTTAACAATAAATGAAATTACAACAATTAATATGACAAGTGATTCCAAACATTTGAATGAGTATATATTGTACTGAGATGCTGAGTTTCTCTGTTAGACCTTGACCCTGCTATACTGATTTTATCATAAAGACAAAAACTACTAAATTTATACAACAGATGGAAATGATCCGATCAGTGATAGACCCAGCAGAAAATCCTGCATCAGATATTGGAGAAAAAATAATGAATGCAATCAAATTCTGTCAGAAAATCTAGCTTAAAAATGGAACAAAATAACACAAAACAGCACAAATCTTAGAGAGAAGTAAAGTAATTTACATTATAACATCCACAATTGCATGATCACATTACATACAGCAGTAAATGTTGGGATAGAATAGTGTTTGAGTAGTCTGAGCGTGCTACATAATTACACACAAAAGTCAGAGACCACATTTTGTTTATTTAATTTACATGCATATGTCAAAACAGCCATATGCATGTAAGATATAAGATGGTCCACTTTCATAAGGAAGAGGAAAGTCAAAAGAAAATAACTAAAAAAACAGGAGTTGAAGTGAAAGATGTAGAGAAAACGGGATGCCTAACAACCACGCAAGACCTGGAAGACCACCAAAACTGTCATTATCTGATCAACAGTACGTAAAACTTTCATCTTTGATACATAAATCAAACAAAAAGCCATTGGAGTCCAGACCTATACAACACTGAATGTATTTGGGATAACTTGGATCGTGAAAGCAGAAAATGCAACAAGATTCTAAGGCTACACTGTTAAGACTGAACTGAGAGAGGGAAAAATAACCCTGCAGATTCCTTTAAAACCCTGAAAGTAAATCTCCCTAAAAGAATGGAAGCTGTAATAAAGGCAAAAGGATGACACACTAAATGCTGAACATTTTAATATTATATTTAGTTGTTGGCTCATGTGTAAGTTCCTGTTAAAATATACATTTCTCCTTTTTTTCTGAGACTGAAAAAAATGAACTTTTGCTTAATGGCTAGATACTGTAGATATTTTATAAAATATTTTTTAGCTTAATACATTTTTTAAATAGTGAATATTGCATTAGTAGTGGATAATACTCAAGGTTTCAGTGTTGGTATCCATATGAAAGAAAAAAAACATTGGTATTGTGCCATCTGTAATTCTTAGCCTCACATAAAAGATATTTCCTTTACATAAAAAATGCTCAGACAACATATTTTGAACATCATCATCATATAGTTCACTCATCACTGACGGTGATCCGTGAGTGAAAACAGGAAGCTGACATTTTCTGAGTCTTCCCACTCAGGCCTCACGGGGAGGATTAGGGGCAGCCACTGCAGACTGAGGTCTGCGTGTGGGGCCAGCCATAGGCTACAGCAGGCCTTCCTGGACCTCTAGTGGTGGTGTGGATTTCTGTGGGATCCTGTTCCCCGGCCATCGCTCTGCTGCTGCTGTTATTTGACTCCTCATGAAAGCTTTCTTCCCTCACTGAGTATCCAGCAAGCCAAAGCTGAACCCAGTCAAGCTTAGCCTTGTAGCGTCTTGCTGGCTCTCTAATTGTTTTCATGGGAGCAAAAGTGTAGCAAGCCAGAATACTCGTATTGACCCCCTATTGATTTTATGTGCTTTTAGGCTTGGTTGCCCAGCAACACTAACACTGTGTGTTTCCTTTAATATGAGCATTTGCTTGTATTAGTTAGGATTTTGGTAGGCTGCCTGTCTTTGTCTTTGAAGTATGAAAACTGAAGCTTGTAAGCTCTATAGGGCGAGGAAAAAAATGACTGAGTATTATGTTAAAACTAGGAAGGGAGGGGGCAGCTTGCAGAAGCGAGACTGAGTGGTGTCTGAATGTCTGTCTTCGTCTCTGTTCTGTCTCTTCTCCTAGAAATGATACGCTGTGGAGCTCACTCAAGGAGCCAGCCATAATAAACACCAATGAGTTCGCAGAGCTGTTCGCTAAGATGTCCTCACCCGCTAAAAGGAAACCCCTTTCTGAGGCCTATGAGAAGAAAGGCAAAGCTAAGAAGGTATAAAACCCTTTTAATCATCATAGCCAGATTGGTATAGCATAGTGGGTTTGATTTCCCACCCAGGCAAGCACATCATGCTGTACCGATAAAGGCCAGTGAACATGCCATGTTGCACAGCCTCCAAAAAACTGAAAACATTGTTGTTTATGAAGGTGCATGCAATTCAGTCGATGCACATTCAGTGTGATTCATTTTCTTTATTTTTCATTTAATCATGCTTTCCAAGTATCCAAATACTTTTTTGCATAGCAGCAGAGTTTGGCCAGAGCGAGCATCAAAGTCCTGTGTCTCTTTTGTCCGGGGGGATTGCGAAGTTACAAGCCTATAAACACTTGGCATGCGATTCAAACCGATTTGCTGCTTGAGCATACTCGAGAGTGTCCCGTTTTTCTTTGTAATGAGCTGTAATACAGCAGCATTTAAGGTGAATCTCAGCCTCTTCTAGTTAGCATTGTTTCCTGCACGAGAATTTGATGCAGTTGACTAGTATTACATACATCTCTATGAAGGTGGTTCATCCAGCGCACTACTGTACCCAGCTCTTGGAGTGATTTATCAAGATTTATCCATTTGAGTCATTATGTAAAGTCAGCCATTCAAACTGCCCAACTCTTTATACACATCACGTTTACGTACAGGAACATTGATACACATTCTGCATACAACTTTATCCCCTTTGTACCTTTTAAAAAAGCATTTTGTCACTGACATATTAAAAATCTTTAACTCAGTGTTTTATCTTTTTACACTAGCTGCCCATTTCATGATAAATGGACCAATAAAATTGATTCCTAAGTGGCATCATATGTGAGTTTAACTACTACTGATACAATATAGGTTTATTTAACTACTACTGATACAAAATAAGATTTTTATATCTACAGGATTGTTTTGGTTTATTATTGTTTTATTACCCACGGGATCCTAATGTCAGCATTATGAGTAATTCTTAATGTGAGAATTCTTAATGAGTGATGTGTATTAGTGTGTGAGAATGATCCTAATCTGTCACACTAAAATGTTTCTACATTAAATGACATGCTTCTGGTTATCCTGAATGAAAATTTGAACAGAATTGCATTCAGAGCCTGTGTTACTAACATTCCTGTCATTACTGCTTGAGCTTAACATGAAAATAGACTCCTCTGAAAATGCTTAACAGAGCTTTCCCAGTAGTGATGATGATGCAGTTTCATTGACTACTGTCTTGTTGTTGAATGTCTGACTTTAATAGCTAAATTACTAGTTCCATTTTGGTTCAGACCGAACAAATCATTTGAGTGGGGGACATTTTTTATATCTAATAACAGGATGCCACAAGTGCCTCTGCTGTCATCTCTGAAATTGACATATGTAATTACAGTGGGTATGAGAACAAAGGCAATTGGATGAAAACTCGCAGTTTCTCTCCAAAACATTTAAAATGGTTTATGAAACAAAATCATCTTACTGTTACTGTTGGCCAGAGGTTGAATTTTCCGTAGACTTTGTTGTTATTCATTGTTCCCTCCCTTGCCTAAGAGTGGGAATTTTCTTTCTCAGTGACCTTTTTTTCTTCTGTGATTATTTTCTACTGTATTAGTATTCTTTACTGTGTACTGTTTTTTTTAAAACTTTTCCATCATTCCAGATCATTAAGTTATTGGATGGCAAGCGCTCTCAAGCAGTGGGCATTCTAATCTCAAGTCTCCATCTGGATATGAAGGACATACAACAGGGTAAAAGACTCCAAAACAACATTACACAGAGGCAAAACTTACATGCTGCTTCAGTAAAACGCGGTCTTTCTTGTTAATGAATAGCACAGCTGGAAACACCAGTTCTATCTTTGCTAAGACAAAATAGGCTAATTTGAGCCAGGGATTCATCTGTAATCTCTCTGATGGTTTGAAAGTCAAGTCTCGTGGTTGAGTACAGACAGCTATGCCTCTTTCAACAGGAAACGCAAGTGTGTTTTTGATTGCCTCTCATTCTGTACAAATAAGCTGCCTTGGCTGGGTGGCAAGGTCTTGTCAGGGTTTTTTGCTTGTATTAAATAACCACCCACTCGTTCTCAAATTAGCCTCAGATGTTAGATTCATCAGCCAAATGTAAAAGTTTCCTCAAATTAAAATCTCTTAGTGGTGCAGAGTGATGGTCAGTGGCTGAAAGACACATTCAGCCTGTGTTACTCCATGTGAATATTACATTATTGCTTAGCTTACATTTAAACCATTTTCTATTTATGTCTTCACAAAATGAATCCATCTGGGATGGTGAGGGCTATACTTCAGAGGCTTATGTTGGTCTTGGAGGGCTTGAGGCTTGAGCACAGCTCCATGCTCAAACACACTTTGTTCAACTTGTTAATTACTTGTTTAATTGCTAACAAACGCTAGAAATCATCCCTTAAATACATCACAAAAATGTCTCTCCACTCAACTCAAACCACATCCAGGTGTTCATTAAGCTCATGCAAACTTGTCAGTGTGGTTTAGAGCACAGTATGAGCACTTACTGTGAACTATAAAAATAAACAAAACTTCACCATGTAGCTGAACACCATTTTAGACAAAAGGTGTTTTGTTCAGTTTTGTTAGTTTCATGGTAAATCTTACTGTGCTCCAAACCACACTGACAACTCTGAAGAATGAAGACCTGGAGGCAAACTGAGCGAGTTGGGGGGTTTATTTAGACATTTTTTACAGAGAAGATTTGGGTGACTATTGATTACATTAGCCTTGTACTACTGTGCCAAACCAACGAAACAAAATTTGAACACCAAACATGTTGATTGGCTACATCTAGAGTAAGTGGGAATTTTTTTTGCTGAATCATTACGTTAACAACTCTTATGTGACCAAATTGACACAATTTAGAGTGTAAAACTCCACATACACCAACCAATTTCCACAATTACAAGAAGCTCAATGTGCAGCTTAATGTAGGTTATCATCAAGGTACTAACTTCCAAAAATGGAGCTACCTCTCACAATTGTAAGACTCCAAACACTGCCAAATGCCACTGTTACCTTTCATGCACCCCAAAAGCCATTTGTACTGAATGATCCAGTACAAATGACCAAGTTCAACTAAGGTCCTGCTTATGGCAAGTCATGCACAGTAAACGCGACTTCCCAGACAGACACCCAGCCTCTAAAGGCTGTAGTTCAATAAAGACAAAACTTAAACTTTAAAGCAAATTCCTAGAAACACAAATTCAGATAAAAGAAGACTTATAAATTATACTGACAGGGAACCCCCTTTCATTCATTAGCAGTTTTCCCCTTTTATTTCTTCCTCACTTTTAGTCTCCTCTTCCTGTACTACCACATCCTGTTCCACACAGGTGGGACTGCCCCCTAGCTGTGTATTTAGGTGCTACCAGCCAAAGCAACATGTTATTCAAATTTTCCATTCCACCTTAAATGATGCAGCAGTTATATTCTGACACCTAGCATTTAAGGTGGAAGAGAAAATTTTAATAAGAAGCTGGTGAATAGGAAGTCAATTCTGCCTCATATGTTTGCATGGATTTTTGTATGCAACTATAAAGACATACCCTAGGAGAATACGGCCTATATGCCTAAGATTCTGTATGTATACTGTAATCTAGAAAGCTCAAAACAAGCTGTCAGGGTTTGTAACTATAACATATGTCACTGGCTGCCTCTTTTTCTCCGACATCAGTTGCAGGGGACTTACTGTGCCATAAAACAGCATGCAACCAAAGAGATCTGGTTCAAAGCATTAAACCTGTCCTTTATCTGGATTTATAGTTAAAGCACACATCACAAATCAGTCTGCAGCTTTCACTCATGGCACTTACATCTGAACATCTGGTTTGTAAGATACTAGTCAATCTGCAATTCTAGAAACTAAAATACATTTGCTTTTTCACCTGCTCAGCTGTTTTGATGCTGGACAACTCTGTGGTTGACCTGGATGCTATTGAAGCCCTCTATGAAAATGTGAGCACTCTATACTTTTTTGTAATGTATAGAAATATATTATTATGTATTATTAAGAGATAACTGATAACTGGGCCTAATTGTTAACCAAAACTCTTTCCCACCAGCCTAAATGGCTGTAGCATGTACTGTGTCATGGCCTAGTATATTATTGGTTTGTACTCAAAGTAGTCTGCTCCGAAAAGCACACATAACAAAACTATTATGTATGCTTCATAATTGTGTCAATGGTTTTGTTTATGCATATTTCAAAGGTCTGTGTTCACTTTGTGAACTGAGTGTCTGTGCCTTTTATTGTCCCCAGAGAGCTCAGCCTGAAGAACTGGAAAGAATAAGAAAACACTATGAAACCTCAGATGAAGAGCAAGTCAAACTGTTGGACAAGCCTGAACGGTGAGATATTAACCAGATCAGTCACACATTCACTTATCTTAGAAAACAGAACATCAGGGCAATGATTATAAAACAGCAGAGAAAGCTCTTGGGCAGTTATTTCACAGTGTACACTAAGTCTAGCCTGTTAAGGTACTGAAAAGAGTGGGACAGATGATTGTAACAAATCATCAATCAAATTTCCAAAGTTAGCTTTAGTGGATAGTTGCTGGTGTATTTAATGTCTTATTCTTCCAGGTTCCTGTATGAACTCTCCCGTATTCCTGAATTCTCTTTGAGAGCACACTGTATCATTCTCCAGTCAACATTCGGTGACGCCATTGCTTCTATCAGGCGTAAAACAGAGATAGTCCTCCATGTGTGCAAGGTACAAAGATTTACTCAAATGTTGGTCCAGTGAGAACTTGAGAAAGACTGTAGAGTATTCTTTGTCCATTGTACTTTCTCCCACATGTAAAAACTCTCATTTTTATAAATGAGCTCTACAAAGACCAAGGTTTGTCCAGTTAATTGGCTGATTTGTTAACAGTAATATGTTAACCTGCAGGATCTGCTGGAGCGGGACAGTGTGAAGGAAGTGCTGGGACTGGTGCTAGCTCTGGGGAACTACATGAATGGAGGGAGCAGAACCCGAGGCCAGGCAGACGGCTTCGGCCTAGACGTTCTTCCCAAGCTCAAAGACGTTAAGAGCAGAGTAAGATTAGAGATTACGTCCAGCTATACACATTGATCAATACAATCATTCCTGGGTCATCCCAGCATATACATCTTATATATGTATATATACATGCTTTTTGTAATATTTTATATATATATATATATATATATAAGTTTTAGGCACCTGAGAAAATGAAAATTCTAAGAGATATTTACAGAATATATAACATAAGAATAAATACAAATAACGGTACACTCAGTAGTGATTTAACGTATGTCTATCAGATGTTAATTTAACCATTTTCAAACCTGTTCTCGAAGAAGTTATAATTAGGTACCTGGTTTAGCTAATCAATGAATTATTGTGTTAAATCAAGTGTGCTGGTGATTAACTTTAACAAATTTATGTGATGGCCGGGAGTGTGCAGGAGAACTCTGGAACCAAACTCCGTTCTTTAAACTAACTCAGAAGATGTCAACCGCTTTTTATGAAAAAAGGAAATTCTTGTTACTTTTTTCTGTGTTTGTTTGTTTGCAATTATTCTATTGATATATAGTGTTTATATGAGCAAAAAATACACTTATAGATAGCAAGATAAATTTTTAACAATGTGCTAGACTTTTGCACCACAGTACTATACAAATATTTATATATCAGTCCTGTCCAAATAAAAAAAAACAAGCATCTCCAAAATAGTACCTTTATAGCAGGAGACAAAAGCATTTTTTACAAGAGAAGAGAGATTTTATTACAAGTGATTTTAGATCATTTTTATTTGGTTCATTTATCATGATGTTTTCACACAATGTAAAATAAAGCTCAAATGATGTAATATATGCACATGTTTTTTGGACACCTACAATATAGGTGTTTTATCACCTCAACATAAAATGCAATTACAGTTAGTGTCAAACTGCCCCTTTGGTTCCTTTATTGAGTCCATTTTGTCAGTTTATAGGGATAAGGGATGTAAGCAGTTCCTTAAGGCTCAGGTATGTCACTGAGCCACGGTGAATGTATTTTTCTAAAATATATTTAATATTATTTGTCAAAAAGTGCACTAGTCCAGAGATTTTCTTACATTTTCCTTGATCAAGATCCATTTTTGTTCTATTCTTGCATAAAAAACAATATGGTTGGTTTGGAAGGGGTGCAGGAGCCCTCCAGGTAGGGTGTTGCTTAGGGATGCCAAATGTTAAGAAATGGCCCAGCTGTGTTTTCTGTTATATTTGGTGTCTTTGTGTTAGCACACAGCAGAACGAATTCCATGTGACTACATACTTGGCTAATAAAAAATATGATTTTGATTTTCCCCAAAATTCCACAGGATAATCAGACAAGTTTGTTGGATTATGTGGTGTCCTATTATCTACAAAACCTTGATGAGGTAGATATATGTGATGTTTTCCTTTTATAACAGTTTGCTGCATGTAACTCACGACTGATCTCACTGTCCTAATCTAACTGTTCAACTCTTATTAGAATGCTGGAACAGAAAACTGCATCTTTCCATTACCTGAGCCTCAAGATGTCTTCCTTGCTGCCCAAGTTAAGTTTGAGGATCTCAGCAAGGAGCTCCGGAAGTTGGGGAAAGACCTGGCGGGTGAGAGCAGTACCTCACAGACAAAGTAAAAAAAAAAAATAGAGCAGAGCTGAGCTTGCATTGCTGTGTCTTTCACAATCCTGTGGTATCACCGTAAGATCCATCAGTCAGTGTGGCAGAGATGTTCATCCAGGACTGTTTGTATGCCTGTAATCAATCAGCTTCCATCCTGTTATTGTGTGGCTTTTCAGTTGTGTTTTGAGGTTTGAATGCTCTGATGACTGACTGTAACGCCGTCAGTGTCTCACAGTGGTCCACTTACCCCCAGACTGGAAAAGACAGAGTTACCACTGCCTGGCTTTACTTTAATCGAGCCAGATTGAGAAGCATCGTATTGCAACAAGTTTGGTTTTCTGCCATTGCCCACAAAAGTTGAGGATAAGCTTTGATGATGTTTGCTCGAATGCAAGACACTTTTTGTGCTTTAACCCCTAAAATCCAAACTTTTACTGCACATTTCTATAACTGAATAGTAAGCTTGCATTGTAGTCAAAGTAGATGCTGAGTATGAGTGTAATAATACGCTCAGCCTGCGATTTGATTTCCTTCGATTCTTGATTTCTCAAAAATATTCAAAGAAAAATTATGACTTGTTGTTCCATAACTTACTAACGACAACAGAGCTAAAAGGCAGGCGGAGTTCTGGAGTGAGTTATGGAAAGGTGTTATTCATGTTCAAAACATGCAGTTACATTAAATGGCAAAATGAATAGATTGTCCATTCTCCACAATGCATATTGTCACAGTTTTGGATAACACTGTACTTGAACCCTGCTACATCACATTTACATAACCATGCCATAAACATGTCATAGCAGATATTACATGCTGTTATGACAGATTAGGTTCAGCAATATAACAATTTTATGTCACCATTACTGTTAATTGTCATAATGTAGAGTCATTTGCAAACGCCTCGGCTCCTGTGATTTTGTTGATTATCTAAGTGAAAATAAGTTAACTCCTCCAGAGAACACATTTTTGCACATTTTAATACACAATTACTGTTTATTTGCTGAATTTAAGATATTGGGAAAAAATAAAAAATAAAACATAGCCTGTGCAAAAGTTGGGGCACACTTTTATTATATGTTTTATGTTTTTTCCATTTTTCTCCTCAGCAAATACATAACGTTTTTTATTACAAAGTATATTTATAGAATGTTCTTTTTTTCATGATATGTTGTTGGGAGTGGGTGTTACACATAAAAGAAATATCAGCACTGTATTATGCTATATTATATTATACCACCTTTATTAGAGAAATATAAATGTGTTTTCCATTAAACATCAGCTGTTATTCTTTTCAAAATATTAAAAATTTTGGCATTTTGGAATAAAACAATTCAAATAGAAATTGTGTATTACATTTTGCCATATTTAAGTTTCATCGCTGTAGAGGATGTGTTAACTTATTTTCAATTGGAAAATCAACAAAACATGTAATTTGACTACAGGTGTTCAACCTTACAACTGTATGTCATAATGTTTGATGTCAAAATGGCTAACTAGAGTAGACTTAGCAAAAATCAGCATGTGATATAAGCTGTCATGACTCAACATTATTACATCTTTCATGGCAATTACCAGTATTAGTATCATAACACTGTAACATTACTGAACAAACACTGTGATGACAACTCATGACACCATGTGCCATCTGCCATTACATGTTTGAGGCAAGGTTATGTCAGTGTTATGTTACAGGGTTAAAGTAAAGCGTTATCCAGTTTAGTGATCTCATGATTCATTGTAACACTCCAATTACTGAATAACAAGCTGTAAGATATCATAAAGATAAGGACAGTAAGGGATTTTAAGTGTTTATTTTCTTTTTCCTCCTTGTGTTTTTAGAATAAATCTTGTTTCAAACGTCTGTAAATTGTGTCCATATGACATCACCCCTCAAAAGCTTGCTATCTCCCTTTAGCATGTGTGTCTGTGATCACGCGCGCACGTTAGACGAAGCGGAGTCTCTGTGATTTTGCCATGGCGCCTTTTAGATATGTTTTTAATCCTGCCCATCAGATGCTTCTGGCATTGTATGAGTCTTTGAGCCTTTGTTGCTCATGTGGCTGGAGAAGCTCACTGGCTTGCACTGCCGTTGTTCTTATGTAATCTGAGGGAAGAGCGGCTTATCGGCCGCGGGCCGCGCTCTATCTCCGTGTAGATGCACCGCTGTTCTCCTGTTACACTGTATCAGCTCTAGTTCAGTGTGGCCCCGCAGATGTGTGTCAGAGATTCTTTTCTTTACCTCTCAACAAGCCATCCTTATCGGGCGACTGAGAGACTGCCAAATCTGGCCCATCGCGTTCTCTCCTTTGTCCCACTGTTTGAACCTCCCTCATGCCTGGGATGAACCTTGTCTCTCTTTCTTTTGTGTACCATTTTGTTCTGTTTTTGTTTTTTTTTTACGCTGTGGTTAGTTTGTTTGCCCTGAGCACATAGTTTATGCTCTCTGTTCGGCTTTGCTCAAGGTGACCGCATTTGTCTCCTGCATTATTCTGTGGCACGGGGAACTGCTGAGCTATTCTCATGAGTCACTCTGGGAATGTTATTCTCTCTGCAGCCATTTGCCAAAAGACAGCAATGACAGCATTGCAGACAAAATTCTTTGTATTTAAATTTCTTGGTGCGTGGCAGCGGCCGGACCGACTATTACTCAGAATGAGAAAGGTTGTCTGAATATAGCACAGAGTGAAGATAAATTGCAGCTCTAGAGATGCTTTCTCATCATTCAACTGTCACACAAGCATTATACACACAGACTGTTTATATGATGGAAGATGACCCTATTCTTGCTTAAAGGGCCCCGTCATGGAAAATTAAATATTCCTTGCCTGTGTTTTGAGTTTGATGTACTATGTAAAGACTGTAAAAAAATTCAAAACATACCATTCACTACCAAGTCTACACAGTCCATATGCAAAGCTAGAACTCTAAATTCATCTGAATTCATCAGGGTTGCGCTGTCAGAACCATGACCACATTTACCTAAAATTTTGAAAACATATCATTCACTCCATAGTCTTTAAAGTACATATATAAAATTGAAGATGGCTTTACGCTGTAAACTTTGATGCAACTAGTTGTTGTGAGTTTCCATGCAACCCAACAGTTACACAAAGCAATTCAAAAACAATCAGAGTTGCACGCAACGCATTCTGTTGTATTTTTTAATATGTCATATCGTTCTCACTGTAAAGCCATCCCCATCTGTAACAATTTTCATAAATTAATCTGAGCTCTGTGTAAAATTAGAGGACGACAGGACAGGAGAAAATAAATCCAGCAATGTGAATCACAATAACAGCAGGCTAGAAGAATAAATGGTGGCCCATGCAGCTGTTTAAACATCTGTTAACATTAGCTGGCCTGTTAATGCAGCTAGTTATGGAAATATGAACTTTAAGAAATATTAGCTGCATTGTTATGGCTCAGGAAACTGAGAAAATGAAAAACTACCAGCCTTGATTCAGTCAGACGGTCTCCTTTTCAACTACCCAATAAGCTATTGTCTGTTTTGTTTTCTTGTCCACTGATCCTGTCAAATCAGTCTTATCAAAGTATGTCATTAGATGTGATAATGTGCTGCGCTATTGGTATTTTGATTGGCTGTTTCATGAAACTTGTTCCACAAAGTTGAGAAGCAAGTAAAGTTGCATGAAAGTTTTACTGCGTAAATCCGGCCTGAGCAGCAAAATAATAAATTCAACTGAATTTATCATGGCCGTGATGTCAAAACCATAACCACATTAACACATGACTACAAATTTAGCCTATTAGCTCTACGCATTTTCATTGAAGTAATAAGCAGTGTTGTTACAGCAGATGGTCTGTATTAGAGTTATTGTACTGGAAGATATTGAGGAAACAATTAAATGTTAAACTGCTCCTGGCTCTCAGACAGTAAATGTATCATTGCAGCCTTCTTAAGGATCTGAAAGCAGTGACAGAAGTAACTTTATTTTTTTCAGACATCTCATTTCAGAATTTCAGTATGAAGTTTGTTTCATACATTTTAACTGCTCTTTGAATAAGACTCAGTATAGGAACCCATTAAAAACTGGTCAGTCTTAAAGGCACAATAACAAAGAATAAATTGGAAAATAGTCATGTGAAAATGAAATATCACTGTGTTTGGTACATAAAACCACACAAATGTTATGAGTAGACTTAAGCAAAAGAAATAAAATACATAAAAATGTAGAATGTGAGCCCTTAAAGAAACAAGCATCCTTTAGAAAAGTTGGGGGGATTTCTACATAGCCGGTCGCCTCCACAGTTTACACAAATGCTGAATGAAAACAGTGGCGTGTGTAATCTTATCAGAGGGAGATGCAGATGGAGTGTATCCAGCAGGCCCAGGCTGCCATCAGGGTCTATTATGACTGGGGCAGGAGACTGGCCCCTCTGATCCTGGGATTGGAGCAGGACTGACGATGAACAAACGGCGCGGCCTGGTGCCACAGAGGTGTATCGGCTATCTGCTGCCGCCATCAGAGGTGCCTCTAAACAGCCTTTATCCAGGGGAAAAGACAGGCGATAACCTCTGACTCCACCACAGGTGGAGCTCCAGCCAGTGCTTCACTGCACTCTCACCTTCTACATGCACTGAGAAGACTACACTCTTAATGATAAATGTATTAAAAGTGTTTTTGGAGCAATGCCATAAAGGAACCATCTTCATTTCCCCAGAGATCCTTACAGTGGATTTTTTTAAATAAATACTCCAGCATTTTTTTTTCAAAAATGAGAAAACCCACTGACTCAAAAACTCAAAACACATGCATATTACCCTAGAGAACCATTCTGACAACTTTATTTTTCAGAATGTAAATGAGGAGCGAGTGCAGAAGAGATATAACTTGGAATTAGAATGATAGTTTGTTCATATGGTTATGTCTTCATAATGCTAGAAGCAAGTAATAGCGAACTTGCAAATAGCAAAATAGCAAAAATTCAATTTCTAGAAAGAATCAGTGATGTTTTAGCATAGTTACACCGGGGCTGCCACTGCCACTGTTTCTGTATAATTCAGTCAATATAATGTAAACATTCATTCAGTCATTCAGATTGTTTGATGCAGAACAGTGCACTGTAGAAAAATTGACTTACTCAGATTGCTTTATGTGTACAAATATGCAAATATATCCATTGTATTTGCTATCCAAAATGTTGATAATGGCAAAATAATGGTAAATCCAAAAAATTAAATTTCTTTGGGGAGTATCTTGCCTCATAATATCCTGTATGTACCTCTCTGCCATAAATGGCTTTGAAAAAACATGTTTTAGGCCAAAACCTCATCTCAAAACTATTGTAAAACAATTCATTTCATTTAATAACTTTCTGTGATGTAGCTTTTAAAGGCGTTAAATTCTTTGCATGTCTGGTCCTAACACCATCATTATGAACGATTTTTACAGAGTTTCTCTATAATGAATAACCTTAGCAATGTAATTATTCTAGAAATTCCCCTGTAAGCAATGAAGACCCTGTTCTTCTGTCAGTGTAAGAACTGAAGATGATATTCTGTAGTCAAAGCTGAACTTGAAATAAGAACTAATTAGGTTTTGTCTTTTCCTACAGCTTGCGAGAAGGATGTCCAGAGCGTGTGCTCCAAAACAGCTCAGATCTTCATCCATCCCTTCAAGGAGAAAATGGAGGCTTTTATAACAACTGGTGAGCTACACATCAGAACACAAGACACTTAATGTCAGAACAGATGAAGTTAAAATACCCTCAGGAGTAAGTCTTCCTTTTCCGTCTTTGCCATGGTGTAGCTGTCAGCTTGCACGGACGGTTCCACAGGGGAGGTTGTAGGGAAGGAATACAGATTGGTCTCTAGATATGATATGGGATTTGTTTTGTTTCGCCGCTCGTCAAGCAAGATGAATGGACGGATGTGCACACACGCTCATTTAAAACTCGAGAAACAGCTCCTGAGCAGAGCAACTGAATGCAACTGACACTATGTAATGGTCCAGAGATGTACTAACTGTTATCAAGTATATCATTCTATAGTACATATGTTTTAGCTGCTTTATTTCTAATACACTGCAGTGACATTTACAATAACTGAAAAAACAATTCTCTGTAAAATGCACTTGTCCATGATCTCTACTGCATAGTAAAATGTGCTCATTGTGTTTCCATGGAGAATATCTTTGATTGGCCCTTTTGGGGACCTGATAAGTGTCTGTGGTCTTCCTTACCTGAGGGAGATAGCTGGCCGTCAGGTTCAGAAAGCAGACAGACAGATAGGGATCAGGAAGGCTTTGGCAAAGAAGGAGACTTCTGAGTCAAGACTGTACTTTACTTCAGCACTGTTTCTGAGGATTCATAAAAGAGTGGGAAAAAAGTCTGAAAATGGAGCGATAGGCAGTGTGAGTGAGTGAACAGAGAAAAGAGAAATTGTATTGTCTGTTGAAGCAAACGGGAAAAGCAGAGATGAAAATCTGACCGTATTCTCATCAGATGGCTCACTACACTCTTAAAAAAGGGTTCTTTGGAGCAAAGCCATAGAAGAACCACCATTTGTTCCCTAAAGAAGTTTTGGTTCTTTAAAGAACCTTTGTTGTAAATGTGCAAGTGAGAAAAACCTTTTTACATTTTAAAGAACCTCTCCTTAATGTAAAGTTTCTGTACCAATTAAAAGTTCTTTACAGAACTGTACATCTAAGCCAGGAATGTTTATTTTTAATAGAAAGCAGGGTTTCACATGGAGACTCATTTTGAATATTAAATTAGAGAATAAAGGACGGTCATATGCAAAAGTTTGGCCACCCCTGGTCAAATTACATGTTTTGTTGTTCTAAGTGAAAATATGTTAACACACCCTCTACAGAGAACTAATTTCTGCACAATTTAATGCGTTATTTCTGTTTAATTGCTGAATTTAACATATTGGGAAAACAAAACTTATGGCACATTTTAAATTTATATTTTTTTTTGTAATATGTTAAACTCAGAAAATACTTTCAAATTGTGCGATAAAATTTGCAGAAAGATGACATATTTAAGTGTGTTCTCAGTAGAGGATGCATTAAATTATTTTCACTTAGTAAAACAACAAAATGTAATTTAATAAGTGTTGAAACATTTGCGTACAGCTGTATATGGGAACATATAGAGAATATAATATATTGTGTAACAAAAATTTCTTGTCTCTGAAATTTTAGCTTGCAATTAACTTAAAAATTGAAGAAATTTTATTTTCATTCAGTCGAGTCATTCTTGGCTATTTCTATTGGTCTATACATCAATTGGTCTATATACATCATGAAATGTTAACGTAATGTAAAGGGTAGCTGATGTTTTCAGATGTAGAAAAAAGAAAAAAAAAGGTTTTTATGGCAACAACACATGGGTTAAATTATAAGGAGCAATTGTAAAGAATATATTCTCAGCATGAAAATACTTTTGCTTTTGCAGCTCAAAATGAACAAATAGCAACTGAACACCATCTAATACGGGCTCAAAAAAGGTATGTCACTATTTTTGTTCATTTATTTCCTGTACTATTTTTTTATAATTATAACATCAATGCTTTTAGATGCTTTTAGCAGTTTACAGTGTCATACAGTGATTTTGTGAACATTTGCAAAATAACCTGCTGGCATAACATGTAAGGCTGGAGTGATTTCAATCCATTGTGAAAAATCGAATTTGAAATGTGTATCAAAATGTAAAACTGTATCGCCGATACACCCCTGGGTTTCTTTCAAGCGTCTCTCATTTACCACCTGTCATGGAAACCGTGATCAGTGATCCAAACTAGGATTCTGGATGCATCCTATCAGAGTAAAGTGGGCGGGGCTATGTACACATCTAAGCGCAAATGATTTTTTTATAAATCCATTCTAAATTGTAGGGGTTGTGATTTTCAGGGTTCAGTTTTTTGGGGGGTGATGGATCAGGTACTGAAGAAGTTCCATTGAAGAACTTTTATTTATCTGAGCCAAATCAATCTGTAGTATAGAATTAGAGCTCTGTAGACTCATTTTTAACATTTTTAACATATAAGCTGTTAAATAAATCGACTGGAATTTTCACATCAGAACTGAAAATTGCATTAAACTTGAACATATGTGCATTAGAATGTCTCTACTGTGAATGTGTGTAGCTGTACGCATGATACAAACATTGCCATAGTAATATCAGACACTCCTTATTTTTGCTGCTTTGAAAAATACATAGTTTCAAGACACTACTGTATCGTATTGAATCAAATTCTGACATTTGTGTATCGTACATCTGTAATAATATGAGAGGAACCCTGCAGCTTGTGAACTGTTGTTCTTCCATTTTCTCCATCCCTGCTGACTCCTCTTCTTAGCTTCCGTGACCTGGTGGAATACTTTGGGCTGAAGCCACGTTCTGGAGAGCAGGACATCCTGCCTGGCCATGTTTTTATGCTCTGGTTTGAGTTCTGCAATGACTTCAAGACCAGATGGAAGAGGGAGAACAAGGTCATCTCCAAAGAGAGGTGAAAAAGTGACTTTTTCCATAGCTGTCCAAGGCCTAAACCAAGACTTACACATTCATCTACATTCAGATTCATATTATTTAATGCAGTCTGACTCTACCCTTAGCTTTGTTTTTAGCAGTTCTTAACTACTTAATCTTGACCTTCATCTTTCAAGGGGAATTCCACAAACTCTTTCAAATTTCTGCATAATTCAGATGTTTAGATGTAAACAAAGTCATTCAGAGTGATTTGATGTGAAGTTGTGCATTGTAGAAAAACTGACTTACCATTTCTTTACAATAATGGTGATAGGAACCAGGAGTTGCAATGTCTATAATACAAATACAGCCATTTTATTTACTTTCCAAAACAAAATAGTGGTAAATCTAAAAAACATATGTTTTTTTGGGGGTACTATTTTGCCTCAGAATGTCTTGCATGTACCTTTCCCTCCTGATTGTATTTTTAAAGACATATTTTACACCAAAAGCTCATCTCAAAACTCTGAAGCATCAGAAAGTGTATTCATAACCATTTCATGTTATAACCTTCTGTAAGTTGGCTTTTATAAACATTAAACTCTTCAAGTGTCTGGTTCCTATCATCACCACTCTGAACAACTCTGAGTTTCTCTAGAATGGGGCATTTCACATCAAACCACTCTGAATAACCTGTTTACATCTTAAAGGTTTCATCACGCAGAAAGTTTTGTAAATGAGTGGAATTACTCTATATATCCCCTCTTATGATGTAAATATGCCATCGCTCTGACCAGCAGTAATGTATGGACTATGTATTCTTATCAAACTTCAGACTGAAAGAAGCCCAGCAGTCAGTGCGTAACATCACAGCAGAGAAGAAAGTGGAGACCAGGAGGGCCCATGCAAATGGCTTGGTAAGAGTCAGTCTTCATATTAAGAAGAGGAAAAAGGCATAAAACATGCAAATGCCTCATAAACACTCTTTAGGGATCCTACCAAATGCACTGACTTTACAGTGTGGTGATGAGCCAACTACTGAGATTCACATTTGAGATTCATCGCAAAAACACACTTGACCACAAGTCCTCCCTCTACACTGTTTATAAGCAACACTTGAGTCAATTTGGCTCGTTTTCATGGTCACCTGGCAGAATCAAGTGCTTAGCTTTCTCTTCATAGTGCTCTGTAGTTTGACAAGATACAGACACTTATAAAGACACTCATACAACGAAGGAGAAAGGAAAAAATGTAAGAAAGATATCTGAATGTAACTTTTACAAAAGTAAAATAAGGTTTTCTTGTAACACAACAAGCTAGTCTTTGACCCTTACAAAGTTAGTGATTCTAAAGCAAAAGGAAAATCTATCATGGCAGTTAGTCAACATCATAGAAGTAGAGATTTATGTAATTATTTAATCATGAATGACAAAGATGCCTATGCTAGAAAGGATGTGTAATTTTCGAATTGACAAGCATTTTGTTTTCTTAACAGAAGGAAAGACTGCGTCAGAAAGAAGCGAGTCTAGGCAGCACCTGAGACGTAACCAACTCTTCACACTAATGCAAGGTTTACTTTACATCATTCACAAATGGGATTGGTGGCAGTTTTGATCCAGGTATTGTGGGAACTGCATATGGATTGGAAAAGGACCGCTATATATGAGGGTGCTCTGGATTCAGCCGATTACAGAAGGACATTCACTCCACAGTTATAAAAGTCATGCTATAAAACTGTGGTCATTTAAGATTCTTCCTAGATTTACCCCAGGTAAAACTAATCCAGCTCCAACAGAGCTAAAGGATGGAGTTTAAGAACTCTGGCCTGCGCATTAACAGGGGTGTAGCCAAGGAGTGGCCAGGGGCTGCTCTGTGAGCATTATATGAAGTAGGCTATGGGGAGATGTGTTAACTCTTCAAAATTACTTGACTTTAATCATTTGTCACACTAATTATTTTCATGTGTATGTCAGGTGCTAAGTGAAATGCAGTCATATCAACACAGTCTAAATTGTGTTTTTTGTTCATTTTCTAAGTGTGAATGATTTAACACATCCTCTTCAGGAAGCAAACTTAATTGTGGCACTATTTCTATTTATTTGCTGAGTTTATCATCTTAGAAAAAATAAAATGTAAAATGTGCCATAACATTTGCAATGGCTACATTTTGTTTTATTTTTTTCAATACTTTAAATTCAGCAAAATAACAGTAATTGTGCAAAAGTGTGTAGAGGATGTGTACATAGTTTTACTTAGAAAATGAACAAAACATCATTTGACCAGGGGTGCCCAAACTCATGCTTGTGATAAAGCTAGATCAACTTGTCACCCAGCCAAAGATTTTTCACTCTTCATGTTACTTTTTACCTTGCTGTTTGGCTAGCTTTATAAGACTCGTAAGGACCAATTATGAGAGCAACCTAATCAAGTAACTTCAACAGCCTAAAATGTGGGCTGAATGTAAATGTTCTTCACACTGAAAGAAAGTGATGCAGTTACTTGTTTCAAATGTGTAAACCTAGGGGTGGGCAGTATGACAGTATTTTATTGTTATCATGAGACATTACGCTACAGAATGCTTTACAGAGCATATAATGGATATCGTCAGTACATCAAGAACACTGACCAGCTGTATGTTTCATTACAAGGAGAACATAATAAGTCCTGTTTAATTGTATTTAGTGCAACAAAACAATGAACAAAAATCACTGTATTCAGTTTTTTTCAAAATATTTTTAAATGTGGCAATACTGGTTCTGATTTTTTCAGTTTCAGTTTATCAAATCTCAGAAATACAAAATATTATGATAGGTATCGTCTAGGGTGAACGTTTTGTGATGTTAGATTTTTGCTATATCGCCCACCCCTATGTACAGCATTTCCTCTTTAATGAACAGAATATATTATACAGTTTTGTCTCTCAATTTACCTTTGAAAGTTATTGTGTTGATATTTTATTTATGTGGAAATTACATGCAGATTCAGTAAATTTTATACATTTTCACAACATCTTAATAACGGAGCTAATATATACACAGAACAACATTATTAACCGCTCTTGTTTTTTTCCAGTGTCGACCCATTATAAAAGCTCTAGCTGTGCTAGAAGTGGCTAGATTGCTTTTTAAAATAATGCATAGATTGAACATTATCTTCAGTTTCTTCTGTGTATACAAAGAAAACCTGCATGTTATATAGTCTTCAGTTTCCTCTAGCCAGGTCCATTCACCATTATCAGATTGGATCTCGAGGACCCACAAATTATGAATGTACACAGAGAACTTTAGAACAATTGATATCTTTATTTGTAGATTTAATATATTGCATTTTTGAAATGTGTAGCTACATTTCAGACACCAAAAACATGCCACATGACATAAAGTGTCATATCTCAGAGATATGGTACATACAGTAAACTTATGAATATGGAATTTTATTTGACCTGCCTCGATGACACGCTTCTGACCGATATGTCCATTTTCATTTCTATTCATTTTGTTCATATTAAGAAAGAACGACACATCTGTTTTGTTCAATTGTTTTTTTACTTAAGAAACAAGACTGAATGCAATAAATATCTCTATATCAAAGCTTAAAATACCTTTTGATCTTTCAGTTATGAAAATACACTATGTACATAAATTAATATTTGGCAAAAAAAGCTGATTTGCAGCATTCAGCAAACTTTGTGTCCACATAGTGGAGACTGACAGGCTGTTTCACCGAATGGCTTACATGACTTTTACATGTAATAAACATCAGCCGTGCACAACAAACACAGGCAGAGTCTGTGTGGAACAGGCTAAAGTAGCAGAGGCTGTTAAAAAGCTAAAAGTGCAGACGCTGCATGCATTGCATTTCACTTGAGATAAAAGTTCTCTAACACTCTCAAAACCAATCTGTTAAAAACAATATGTGACACAAAATGTGAAAACAGTGATAAGAAGTTGTGTAGGGTAGTCTGAAGTAGTGAGCACAGGCCCCTTAGGCCCCCTTATTAAGGTAAAAACGTTCCAACAGTAATTGGTTGTAATCGCCATGTAACTCACTTTTATAGAACACCATAAAGCTTTGTTTTCAATTTGTCAGCCAGCTTGGCAAGGAGTGAGGGAGAGGTTTATTCCAATAGCTTTCTGTTTAGTATTGGCTTTCTGTGTTAAAGGAGAATTCCACCAATTTTTAAAAAAATTCTTCATCTTTCAATCATTGATTTGTACACCAAGACATTCAGAGAGGTTTGATGTAAAATGGTTCATTGTAGATAATCTTTCCCACTCAGATTTGTTTACATTGGTAGTAACAGGAACCAGGGGTCACAATGTCCACACAAATACAATAAGCCAGCTAATTTACTATCCAATTAAATTTACTATCGTCTGAGTTTTTATATGTAACAGTGATGATAGTAAAATATTGGTAAAAGTCAAACTGTGTCTTAATACCCCACCAACAAGTCTGTGCAACCTTAATGAACGGGTGATGGTGGTGTGTGTAGGACCAAATAAGTTTCGATGATGTATTTTTACAGAAATTATTTGGGCAATTTGGGTGACTACTGAGTCTTAGTGATCGTTAGCAATATTAGCCTCGCTGGTCCAGATCTAAACTACAGGAGCCAGATTTGGGCTTGGCTGATCGATACCAGGGCAGGAGGAGAAAAACTGGATAAATTAGATTTTTCACTGAACTATTTCTTTAACGCATCCCGTTTGAGAGTGAAGAGGGGGGCGCTCGCTTAGAGAAACCAGTCCACGCCCTTTGTGTCCAGCCGTGGCGTGTTTTACAGGCTGCTTTCTCGGGTGAAACCGACAAAGCAGAGCTAGTCTAGCTCTATGGAGGTGCAGCGGCACTGTTTGACGCGGCGCACGCGTTTCCTCTTGCTGCGGACTATCTGACCCGGGCACAGCAGCGTGTAGGTGACCACGGTGAAGGTCTTGGGCTTGCAGAAGGAGCAGGACTGGAAGGCGCTGTCCTCCTGGTACACGTGGCGCGGGATGTAGAAGGAGTTGCACTGGCCGTAGCAGAAGCTGTTGATGATGGTGCGCGGCAGGCAGCCCTCCTCGCGCAGCGTCTGCTTTAGCGGCTGTGTCTTGCACCAGTCACGCTTCAGGTAGTGGCGCTCCGTCACGTGTAGCGCCTCCTGGCTTGAGTCCAGCGGCTCGTCCGCGACCTGACCGCTGCTGCTGCTGCTGCTGCTGCTGCTCGCGCTCTGCTGCCCCCAGCCGGGCACAGGGGGTTTGTTGGGGTGCGGGAAGGCGCCGTGGAAGCCCGAAGAAGCCAAACACCTCAGCGGACTGCAGAGCAGACACAGAGCCGCGAGGACCACCGGAGCACCGCCAGCCATGACTTACAAGAGAAGAAAGAAACACTTTAACAACAACATAAATAATAATAACAATAAAAACTACTATTAATAATAATTATTATTTATTCTTATTATACACCCTGTCATTGAAACAGAGTATAATAAGAACGATACTACTACAACTTTTATTTTTACGATAAATGCTAATAATTATTACAATTCTTTCTTAAAAACAGAAAGAATGTCACAATGATAATATTATTTTACTACTGCCTCTAACAATAATTGTAACACCTCATCCATTCATAGGAAAAGAACGTCTTTTAATAATCTTAATACTTCTGCTGCGACTAGCAGTAGTAGTACTAACAGTAATAATAGCAATAGTAATATTTATAAAACTTCTTTCATAGGAAAAGAAATACTGTCTTTAACACTTTAGAAGTGAAGCTGGGCACTGGCTTCACACACAGGTTTGTATTCCTCTCTTTGTAGGATTTCCCCATCGTCTTCTATGTGACTTGCTAAATGCCGCTGTGCTAGACCACCTAACCCACCATAACCTTAACCTCATAAACCAAAAGAGATTTTTAGGCTACCTTTTATTACAAAAGCTGCTTTTTCAAAGTGTCAAGGGTCATTTAGTTCATGGGGACCAGTCTAATCTCACCACGACGTCAACATGTTAATTTGGTCCCCACAAAGGGCTAAATACTAAATAAAAATCTAGACGCATATTTTAGTCTGTGTCGAGAAAAGTTGGCGAATCTACAGGTGTGAGAAAACCAAACGGTACCAACACGTACAATGACTCTCCTTCACTGTGCATTTTAGTTAGTCTATCAGGGCTAATTTTCGAGTCCCTCCAGTTTCTGTATTCTTTTTCTGCTTTCACGGAGAGTATAATGAAAAAGGTTGTCCACTTTTTAAAAACACTGATATTCTCTCCATATGAACAGTGCAGTGGTTCTCTTACCGTGTAAATTGCCAGATGTCGCCTTTCCGAGTGAAGTCCCAGTTACATTGGGTTTACTGTAATACGAAGCCTTGGAAAATGTAGGCGAACGGAAAGCAGACTGATTCAAAATCCAGAACTCGAGACAGAGCGTGTGGAACATCCTTTAAGTGGATGGGGCAGGATGATGGCAGTCCACCACGCCCCCAACTCAACAAGACAACACCATAGGGGATTTCAGAGGTTCAGAGTGATCATTTTGTGGCTAAACTTCCCAAAACACTGAAGCTGATGGAAGTGGCTGGCTGGCAGCACGTTGCCCTCTTCTGTATGCAAGAACCTCCAACCCACGATATAATGAACACAGCATAAATGTCCTAAAACTGCTTGAAACAGAGTGGTTTCTCAAGAAAACATTATTGTGAATTATGTTATTGTGCTGTTTAACTCCACAATTGGGTAGAACAGTGGTGCCCCCAAAGTGTAACAACTGGGAGACCATAACAGTGAGAATACTGAAAAGTCAACAAATTCTCCAAGCCAAAATCTGAGCACTTTGTAAGGTGAACAGAACTGGCTTATAAATCCCCGTCTAGCATGACATGCAGGACTGAGAAAAGATACACATCAAAAACGTGCACATGAACATATACTTTTTATTTTACTCTTCAAAGCAAAAACTATGATAAGGAACAATTTAAATAATCACCACTGTCATCATTTCCATCACATCTGATGGTCTAGGTTTAGTGGTTGTAATTATGATGAAGTACCACAATTCCACTATACAGCTGTCTATATAATACAAGGCTCAGGGCATGATATTGCTTGTTGCCGTTTCCATTTCTTCCTCCTCTGGGAAATGTGGCACAGACTTCTTGGCCACTACATTGTCCAGTCTCTGTCCCATCAGATATGGGTTGGTGCTCTGAAACAAAAGACTAGGTTGTCCATAAATGGTTTTCACTGACATAAGACAAACACAAACTGTCTTGTAATTCACATCCCACATTCTGGACAGAAATATACTTAAATCTCAAATCTCAACACACCCTTTTTCTTCTTTTTGGACCTCCCTTCAGTTTCTGATACAACATTTCCTTATTCTGCGGAAAACAAAGAGGGTAGAACAATTATTTTTCATTTTACATTGATTTTCTCCTTTAAATTTTACTTTAGACTGGAAGAAAATGTTCCATAAAAGGTAAAACATGAAAATATTTGACAAAGACAAATCGGTATAAGAAGTATGCAAAATGTTCTATATTGCTCATAATACTGGAATGAAATTTCCACTCCCATTCCCAAACTAATAAAAAACAGATTTGAGAGGACATCAAGAGAAAAAGCAGATTAACTTTAAAAATAATTACAGCACTGCTGGTCTCACTCCACGTACTCCGCTCCAGCATGTAGTGAGCTCCAGTAAGTGTTTCTCTTTGGCACCGATGTATAAAAAAAAAAAACAACAACCGTATCCTAGACTGAAAAATCTGATCCCATATCAAAACTCACCCACTTGGCCAGCGTGGGGTAATCATGCTCTGGATCGAAGAGGTGCTGGTGTTTCTGAAACTCGCGGCTGAACTCGGCTGTGTCTGGTGAATTCTCCAAACAGCCATCAGCTGCTAACAACACAGCATTTTCCATGTTTTATCTGAGAGTAGCACTGAATGTATAGACATACACACATTGACGTACTGGATTCTAATTAGTCCTCTTAGAAAATGTGATCTAATTTATCTCCACTTATTCTGATTGCATCACAGACAAACAAAGCTAAATGCAGCATAATAAAAATGCAAAATACCTTCTTTGGCTTCATATGGTTGATATAATAAAAGCAGAAATGATAAGTATAATAATGTAGCAAGAGATAAGATTTCTGAACTAATTATGTACCAGTTTTTCCCAGAGGGCAGGGGTTTGGAGGGTCAGGATAGCCATGATCTTCACTGAAGTCTTTTGGAACATTGTCTCCAGTCAGTTCTGCCACTATGTTGGGGATGTTCCCATAAGGTCCAAGATGCTGAAGCCCCTCATGAGCACCACCTAGTGGACATGCACTCACATTACCCAAAATGCAGACCTAATTTGCAATGTTTATTATCAAAGACAGACACTGCTCCTTCCAAAACATTCAGTTAGTGGGGCAAAATTTAAAATTCAATTATGACAGTTTTCTTGTCAAACAGCCTTGGATATACTACACTTGCCTAAAATCGGGGCAGTTGTGTTAGATACTATTTTAAATACTATTAATTAATAATACATTTAATAGTACACACTCTGTCCAAAGGTTTGTAGACACCTGCTCATCCAATCTTTCTTCTGAAATCAAGGGTATTAATAGGGAGTTCAGTGACAGCCTCTACTCTTCTGGGAACGATTTACACCAGATCAGAGGAGACATTTACATTTACGGTATTTAGCAGACACTCTTATCCAGAGTGACTTACAATTTTATCATTTTACACAGGCGAAGGTAGTATTAGGAGTCTTGCCCAAGGACTCTCATTGGTATAGTGCAGGGTGCTTACCCAGGCAGGGGACTGAAGCCCAGGCTACAGTGCAGAGGTGTTACCCACTACACTACACCAACCAATGGTGGCCAATTGCAAAGGGGCCAGTGTGGCTGCAGGTTTTCATTCAAATAAAGCAAGGGCATGCATGAGAGACCAACTGACAAAACAAGTCAAATCAGGTGTGCTCCAGCCTGCTTGGAATGAAAACCTGCAGCCACGCCGGCCCCTTACAAATTAAATTCAATACCCCTGCAAAGATGCTGGAACAATGCTGTGAGGACTTGATTGCATTCAGTCACAAGATGATGTTGGATGATAGCTCTCCATCACTCCAGAGATCGCAGTTCCACTGCTCCACGGCCCAATGCTGAGGGGCTTTACACCCCTCTAGCCAACAACTGGTACTGAACATGGTTTTGTATGAAGATTTTACAACCTGTGTGTAGTTGGACTCCTGTGTCAGCAACGAACCCAGCTGAATTCACAAATTAAAGGGGTGTTTAGACACATTTGGACTGAGTGTATTAAACAGTAATATTACTAATCAAATATCACTAATCAAAATTATAATATACTGATAAATGTGACAACTATACATTAGAAAATATTAAAATGTCATTTAAAATATACTATGATATTTTTGCTTTTCATCATTTTAGATCTATGATTTCTGATCCTGAATATGAATTACATGGTTTATAATCTCCATTAAATGATTCTTCTCACCCTGGATGCTGAGAGGACCCACTATATTAGTGGCCTGATGCGCCGGATACTCCACCCTGGGCCGAGCGATGCCCAGCTCCTCCATCACGCCGTGCAGCAGGCGCTGGATGTCGGCCTCGGACACCTGATCGGCCGTGCGGGGGCTGCGGCCGCACACGATGGCGGTCAAACTGACCAAGAGACCCAGAGCGACCGAGTGTGACATCCTGGCAGCCAGAGCCATCGCTGGGGCTCACTGCACTGAGCAGTGAAAGAAAAACGACAGAAAATGTTCGACATGCTGATTTTGCTGGGCTGATAAACAAGACCTGCTATTTTCACAAGATGTCTCGGTGGGCTAACCTAACCTACCTGGAGACAGCAACAAGGCGCACACACTGGACTACAGCCTGTTTATAGTATTTCGACAATGTAAACAATAAATTGCCTTCATTTTTGTACAAAAATATGAAGCAGGTGGGTAAACTGAAAAGGTGTACATCGCTGTTTTACGATATCATCTAGATATCCATCCTCAGCTCCGCCATTAGCAAACAGAGGCTGGATGAGCTGCTGCAGATACACACCGCGCCGTCTGCCTGCGTCATCCTTATTTTTTATCTTGAAGAAAAATGTGACTACGATGGCAATAAATAATACAAATCTGATCTAATACAGGGAAAACGACAATCTTACCACGTATTGTGTTTGTTTGGAAGAGAAGAGGCTGGCAGGCTCAGGATGCTGATCCTCCAGCACGGTTCATCTACACTAGGGCTGCGAGTCGATCCTCCGAATCCAGGCTTTGGGAATCGAGAGTCGACTCCAAAGCTTTGGACTCGGTTCCACACAGAGACGTTCAAGAGTGAGACATTCTTCTGTCGACCTGACTGAGAAACGTGTCCTTCCACAAATGCACATATATACTCCAACTGTATTTTACTTGAAATATTTAGAAAACAAAGTAAAATTCAGAAGTTCATTTGTAACAAAAATGAACACACATCGCCAGTGCTGACGCATCTAACCTGACCGGAGATCCATGTACAGTTTAGCTAGCACCCGGTAGTCAGCTAAGTTAATTGAGCCAACATTAACTCTGCAAATTCTCTTGTCCAATATAACGAATAATTAATATTATACTAATGTCAGATGTTCTTCTTAGATCATTGTGTTGAATCGACTCATTCACTTTGAATCAGAAAAGCAGTCGACTCCACAATTTCTGGAATCGAACAGCCCTACGGAGCGCTCTGCTATTCTAAACTAACCAGGATTGCCTACTGGATAACCTCTATAACTTGCCATGCTTTTATTAGTACATGGCATCCATATATACCTGTTTGAACAGAATTTACACAGCACACTGTAATTAAGATCTGTCTATTTTAATTTTTTTCCTTCAAAAAAATATTTTAAACAAAAGGTGCTTGGATATTATATCACATTTAACATGCAATGCTGAGCAAACAATAAAGTCACTGACATACAAAAAAGCTGTGTTCCCCATCTATTTCAGCAAACCTCAACCTAACTATAGCCTAACCATATTTAAGATTATGTTTGTTTATGATGGCCTTCATAATAAAAATGAAATCCAAATACACAGCTTTCAACATCAAAACATCAACAGACATCATTATATATATATCATTAAAATGACACAACGCATTTTCTGCACCCTCTTAGTGGGCTCTATACGTTAAACACATGCATAAATGATGTTATAAGTCTGGTTCTGATTCTTAGTTTTTAAGTCAATACACTGTTCTACTTTATGATATACCTTATAGGTCATATTCAAGAATTCAGTCTGGTGAAACGAAAACTACATTCACAGTTTGATGGCTGAACACTGATCATTTTGCCTCTCTCATACGAGAGTTGATCCGTTTCACATATTGGTAAACAGGGGTGCGCTGAAACTTAAGGGGAGGCCGAATCACTTTAGGCCCCATTGGCTTTACCTGAAGCTTGTCAAATTTTTCAACATGATCCACCACCCTCACTTTGGAAGTCCTTGGTGTTGCTGTATTCAATGGTTTAGAGCCACTCAGTTCCATCAGACGAACTCCACAAGTATTCTGTAGGCTATCTGCATCGCCCTCAAGTGCTACCAGTGGGCTTGAGGAAGAAGAGAGTAAATTAAATTTGCTGGTCAATTTCCCCAAACACTTAGAATCTGAGCATTTCACATGAAGGATAGATTCCTTTTCTCTGTTTGCTTGTCTTTGCTCAGCAGCAACAACTGGAGTGCTTTGTTCCTCCAGGTTTAAGTGGTGCTATTGTCTTTAATCACATTATTTTCCAAACATGTGGAGGTACTATTTGAATTGCACAGTGGAGGAGAGAACTCATCCTGAGTAAGAAACTGCTGGTCTTCTGGACCGACTGTGGCTGGGGTGCAGAAAAGGGTCCTGAAGACACTTCTGATGGCTTGCGGTTTGTTAGAGACAGACTCTAGTTTAGGATATTGCTTCTTCAGACAAAGGCCAACAGGTGTGTCCTGGTAGGGCTGAAGCCAGCATGAAGCCACAGGGGACTCTGGAGGGGTCTTGTCTCTTGGACTTGATGTAACACAACCAAAAGTGTTGGATATAGCTCTATCAGAAACAGAGAGGTCAATATTCATCAAGCTTTCCATATAAAACCCCTACTTGTGACCTATTACTGTCAAAGACAAAGAAATACTTCAAAAGTCTACTGAAGTTATCCACAGGAGAAACAGGTTATTACATGGAGCACTTGGCCAGCACACAACTAAATTATGTCCAAAAGTTTGCAAAAATTTGTTTGTCCAAGTCTTCCTCTAAAATAAAGGGTATTAATAGGGAGTTTGTCCTTTTTTAGCTACAGTAACAGCCTCTACTGCTCTGGGAAGGCTTTATACTAGATGCTGGAATATTACTGTGAGGATTTGACTGCATTCACCACAAGAGCATTGGTGTACTGATGTTGGATGATTAGTCCTGGATCACAAACGCCACTCCAACTTATCCTAAAGGTACTACAAGGAGCTTCATCGCTCCAGAAAACACAGGCTTTTTCACACAATCCACCTCTGTGTGGCGTGAGTAGCTCAGAATGTCCTGCTTTTTATTTTGGCACCCATGTTAAGAGGTCACAACATTTACACAGCTGGCTTGAAGAGTGTGGCATTACATCCTAGACGTGTCTCCAAAGCAGCAGCATTTAGAAAATTGGCAATCTTTATTTTTTCCTGTGTACCACACACGCCATGCAGCAAGACACAGTCAATTGAACAAACAAAATATTAGCTGAACAATTTGTGCTTTATTCAATTTTTCATCTACCAGACTTGAAACGATTGCCCAATCAGTCAGAAAGCTGTCAAGTGTAAGCAAACGTACTTAAGTATAAAAAGTGTATTCTCTCTTGTGAACTTTATTTTACTGAGAAAAATAACCAATTTAACCATCTACCCATTTAGAGAAAGGATGTCTGTAGAAGCTTGCTGTACCATTTCACAGCACAAACACTGTGAATGACCGATGCATGCAAGTGGTCACATAGCCACCTCGCTCAGGTAACACGGTAGTATGTGTGAAACAGGCCTTAGGCTTACGTACAGCTGCTCCTGAGTGTCCCATATGTTTGCCAACACTTTCTACAGAGATTATAAAAGCTGTGCACATCTGAACACCTTGAACTACCGCCCCCCCTTACAAATAATACTGTATCTCCTCTATACAACTTTAAGTAATGTGTGATGCAGAGAGAAAATAAGACTGTGGTATCACACCTACCTTTTCACATTTTTACACACCCTTCCACAGGTTCCTCTTTGGGCTGATTTGTTAAATTGCCTGTTTAAGACAGCAGGAGGACTTGAATCTTGTTCCTCTACAGAGAAAACATATTCCAATTCAGTATCCAAGCACTCTCTGTAAATAACTATATTAGCCAAAAAGTACTCCATACAGCATAATATATTTACTTGAGGAAGAATTGTAACAACAGCCGAACAAAACACTTGGCAGCATTCCTAAACTTCTTCTGAAAAACTTCTGCTTCCTGCAGGAAAATTCATCACCAGCACCATCGGACAGAATCCTCTCCTTTAGGTTTGGAGTCCCAGCTGCGCTTAATGACAGGACTGCAGACAGTCAGGCACAATATTAGGAGAGGGCTGCTAGTTGTAACTTGACAGAAGAATCACAAATCAGATTTTGGCTCATTTGCACTACCTTCTGAAGGTCTCCTTCCTTTGCTCTTCCACCCAAAGTGAGGGTCTGTCTCATACGGTGGATGGGAGTCCACTACAGTAAGTTCGTTCTCAACAATAGTGTCAGGAACCAGACCTTTTGAAAAAAAAAGTTTACCACTATTACTCATATTTAGCTCTGACTGGTCTGAGAAACCACTATGACATACCAAAAGTGTGCGCATTTTCGATGAGGGTGCAAATAACAGCAATATGAAGTCTGTGGCGCACATCATTCCATTCAGGAGTACTGTGCATGTGAAAGAGGTTTGGAGTAAGGACCACTGACAGGTTGTAGCTGTCCATTTTATTCTCAGAAGCCCTAAAAGATAAAAAAAAGAGTAAACACTGGATTTAAAGAATTCAAAATTATTTTTCCAAGCCAAATATCCGGCAAAAAGGAAGCAAAAAGTTAACCCTTGTGCATCATGTAGCTTTTCTTGATGGTAGCATACCTGAGGCCACATACCTTAGAGAGACCTTCTTGAGGAAAATGAAGAAAAAGTGGAGAGTAGATGAGTTAATCTCAGGCAGAAGGCAGGACACAAGCTGAGTGGCTGCACGCCGCTCTTCTTCAGTGGGCAGCCGCTGAGCACTTGTGAAGGCCTGGAGCAAACCTGTGGGAAGAACTGGGCTCGGAAGCTCGTAGAAGAACTGCTTCACCAGGCTGGCCACATCACATGGCAGGGCGGTGGATAAACAGTCTTCTCCTTTGTCAAGCCTTGCCTATTGGAAGATTAGAAATGTGTACATTTCTCTCTAGGCTTCTTTAGTTTTGGCTACAATGTACAAAAATGCTCTGTTACTCACTCTTAAAGCCTTCAGACGCACAACAGAGCCGGATTTTCTGAACAGGCCCTCAGAGCCAACATGATTCAACAGATGCTTACAAGAATCTACTAAGAAACTAGTAAAAAACAAAAAAATAAGTGACAGTACAATAAAAACCCATCATACTGCTATGTGACCTGAATAACATTCTAGTTTAAGTAGTGTCAGTGCTCTGCAATGGACTTACCATGGTACCAAACCATAACCAGCTATGTTCCTCATATGCAAGTGATGCAGAGGCACACCAAACACCTTGACCTGAAAAAAGGAGTGGAAAGACACATTTGTTCTAACAGTTTAATTAACCTTCTTTTCCTATCTATGTTACCGGATCTGTTATGTGGGTCCACATGCTTAGCCTGCTCCGCCAATGTATTTAGTGAGACTATGGACTACAGATCAGGCCAAATCAAGACCAGCAGATAGCAAAGGTGAGAGCTCATGTAAATACACCGGATAAACAAACTCAGCCTTCCATGTCATGCTTTTAGGTATCCCTATGCTGTATGACTGTGGGGTCTACTTACCTGTGGAGATGCCGATGTCTTCCATGTTTTCCTGCTTTCAAACCTTTCAGAAATCCTCTTCTTCTTGAGGTGAATTCCGTATACTGAACGCAGGCGCCTCAACACAGCTACTCGCAGCACATTTTTGTCGGGGGTTTTCATTTCGTATCGCACTTTATTTTGTATTTCTTTCTCTTCTCGAATAAAATATGAAGCAAATATCACCCACAGCA